TTACTTTAACTTTATTAACAATTAACGTTATCTACGCAAAGGGGTTCGTTTCCATATTGAGTTTCTTTTTCATTAGTATCAGTTGGGGTAGCCCTTTGTTTTCTTTAAAATCAATTTTAAGTAACATATTCCTTTTTAATTTTGAGATCTGTGAATATTCTTTCACTAACATGTTGGTAATTTTGGATAAATCTTTCTACTAAGTACTTGCATCTCCGCTTCAGTGAAGTTGTGGTTCGATTTGTTGGTAATTATTCCATTAATCATTTCAGTGGTAGTTCTTGCTTTTTCCACTTTTATTCTATTTTGGAACTCAAATATTTTACAAACCAAACTAGTCCTTAATTGTTATTGGAGTGAAATTTCTTTGTTTATCAGTTTTAGTGAAGATTGATTCATTGTTCTAGAAAGTTATAAAAAAATAAAGCAGTTAAAAAGCATATTGTTTTCATATATAGCATCTGGCATATATTTATTTATATCTCTTTTTCACAACACTGAATAAGAGATTACATGATAATGAAAACATGGTGGCAGAGTAAGAAAACCATTCCTCAGCTCCAAAAGTAAATTTAAAAAAAAGACTATAGTTGGCAAAACTACACAAAAATGAACCATGGTTGACTGAAAACATATTTTTAGGACAGACTAGTTGAAGTTTTTGATTTTTTGGTTCCAAGAGAAGACATTTGTCCCAAGAAAAGTCAGTGAACTGAGAAGACATTGAACAAGAGAAGACATTTGTCCCAAAAAAAGTCACTGAACTGTGAAATATGGTAGAGATTGTGTTATAGTGTGGGTTATTTTGGTGGGAATTCTTTGGGTGGCAACGTAAAAATAGATAGAATAATGACAAAAAAAAACGTATTTCAACATTTTAAAAAGCCATGAAATACCTTCAGGAAGTCAGATTATTGGGGAACCATTCATTTTTATAAGAAGATAACAATCCAAAGCATTCTTCAAAACTTCGTAGAAATTATTTGAGAATGATCAAATTTTAAATAGAATGAATACACCTTTTCACAGCTTCGATATAAAATTTATGCATGCGCAGAAATGGGAGTAAAAATATAAACATACATTATTTCAACGGTTTAAGTTATAGAGGTTTATAATGGAAAAAAATGTAAATACTGAACCTATACCATTTAGAAGTTTCAAGAGATTGAAAACATGCACTGTCATTGATTGTAAAAATAACAATCTAGAAATGTGGAAAGATGATTTATTTATGACACAAAATGTTAAACAAAACTCTAACTTGTGAAATAGCAAACTACCATTTGAGTAAGCATTTGTTATCCACTATCAACACACACACACACACAGATATATAACAATATAAAAACAACCACAGCTCAGAGAAATATAGAGAAAACTAATTAAGCATTCAACGCCTACATTATTGTGTCAGTTATTACTGTAAAACCAGACAAATTTGTATATAAACATAATCCAAACAAATTGTGTAATTGCAATTTAAATAAATGTTAATTTAAAATATTTGTATACAAACATTTATTTTAAAAATGATAGTTCTTGCTACTTTTATACTGGCCTTACATCTGTCAGTGTGCTTCATGAGTTACATAGTGCAATATCACCATTTATCAAAAGAAGATAAAAAACCCTTAACTATTTGGACCAAAATAAAAGTTATGCAGCAAAGATGATTTTTTAATGATGCTAACACTTGGAATAATGACAACTGATCTTGCTGACAGGTTTAATATATCTTTAGGATTAGCCAATGCAATATTTTCTTCTTAGGTGAAAGCTTCTAGCTCACTTTTAAAGCACATAGTTTTTGTTCCAAGTAAAGATGTTATAAGACAGGCAATGCAAAACAGATTTAAGAAATTAAATTATATAGACTTACACTAAATTTCAGATATAACAGAGTTTATTATGAAAACACCCAAAAGTTTTGACTTACAGAAACTAACAAGAAGTAAATACAAACATTACAACAATATAAAAACATTAGTACCCGTAGCTCTGAATTCATCAATTTAAATAATTTCTAAAGCTTACAGAAACTAAATTTCAGATGAAGAAATTTTAAATCGCAACAACTATTTAGATTGTGTTCCAAAATGCTCTTATATAATGTATGATAAACGCTTTAATATTAATACTAAATGTTCTGAACATTTCATCTACCAATTATCTATCTACAAATGACAAATAAATAACTAAAAAAAAATTAGAAAGAAATTGCTAATTTAAGGATATTGGTTGAACAAGTTATTAGAAGGCCAAAAACATTTCAAATTTTGTTAACAGAGTTTCCGCTTACAATGTTGAAACTATTTGATGATATAATAATATATTATATAAATAAAGCTTTAAACTCTACATTAGGTAAATTTAGAGTACAAAATAGGATAGTCGAATTACTTTTTAAAAATCCAAAAGTCAATGTTTTGAGGTACTTTTTTTCACTTGTTTTTTAATATGCTATTTAAACTATATTAAACAGACTCTTTTTTAATACTTATATAAGACTATTGAGCAGCTGTGGCACAGTGGTAGTGCACTTGCCTCAGAAACAAAGGATCCGTGGTTCAAAATCCACCTCTGGGCAAGTCTTGCAACATTGGTCATGAAGGAGGCTTGAACTTCCAATTAAATGCTCATATGCTCATCCGCGGTGGTGTGTAAGGACTTCTTGGGGCACCTAAATTAAAAAATAAAAAAAATGGCACTGGTTTAATAATATTGTTTGATAAACTTAGTTTTGCTTTGTAAATCTTGAACAAATTACTGTTAAATTAATGTTTGTTTACATTTTTACTTCCATTTCTGCGCACGCATAAATTTTATATCGGAAATGTGAAAAGGTATATTGGCTTCCCTAATCCCCAGATCTCTCTCCTATCAAATTTTTATGGATGAATTAAAAAGAAATGTCAAAATATTAATGCTTACTGAAGAAAAAAATATGGAAAAAACTTGTGAGTGGCATAAAATTAATTTCAGCAAATTGTTAAAGTTGTCATGTAGAATGTCAAATAAATCTAAAATAGTTATTGCAACTAAACGTGCTCAAATAGATAAGCGAAAATTATAAATCAATTGGATTTTTTATTGCTTTTTATGTAAACTTAATAAACTTGATAACTTTGAAAAGTGGCACTATTTGAATTATTATGGTATGTATAAACATATTATAGATGGTATGTATAAACATATTAGAACCCAGCAAATCAGCATTTTGGTTTTGAATCAAACTTCAAATCCAATCAACATTTTGAGGAAATCTTTTTTTATAGTATATATTTCAAAAAAGAAAAGAAATATTATTTTAAAAAGTTTTTTATAGGCTCTAGACTTTACATTCTGTTTATTCAACTTTAGTGAAGCCATAGAAGTAATAAAAGGTACTCAACATTTACATTGTGTTCCACTACGAATAACTCCTTTTTAGAGCTGCTCATAAAACTACAACTTAATGCAAGGTTTTTCCCAAACCTCAGCAGATAGCCACTAAAAAGGTTTGTTGCATCCAAAATAGGTTTTAGAAAAAAAAAACTTTTTCAAATATCTTTCATCGCCACCGATAAAGATTGAGTAGCTTTTCCACATCTTCCACCTAAAGTGTATTCAGTAAGATGTAATACTGTGCAATTTTCACACGAACTATTTAATGAAGTTTGAATGTACTGCTAAACTTGGTTACAATATTAAGTGGTGGACAAGATTCTTGAAGTTCAAGTTGATATTTATTTAAACATTTTAGACCTACAGAATAACTGTTGAAAAAAATTTCAATTTTGTGTACCAAACTATTAAGGTTTTCTTACAAGTGCAACAAATGAAAATATTTTTCACTATGTCATATATGTCACATACAAAATCAACTTATAAAAGAATGTTTTTCAAAGGAGTATGCCCAACTTACATACATTTTTTGCCTTTTTTTTTATATTGACACATATTTATGCTCATATAACACATATTTATTTTGCTCATTTATGCTCATAAATATGGTTAATTAAATATGAATTCTACTGGATGAATTACTCTACTACCTATATATGAATTATGCTACTATTATATAACATTATTATTATGCTATGGTTATTATATATGAATTATGCTACATTAATGCTCATATAACACATATTTATGCTCAAGGATGTTAGAAAATATAAAACTACTCTTTACAACTTAAAAATAATTTTAAACCCAAAAAAAAAATTTTTTAAGAAATTGTTGTTTTTTTTTTCATAAAAAATTTGCAAAAATATTGATAATGTGTTGATTTGACATACTATTTTGCAAAATAAACAGGCAAAAATAATCAATTTAAAAATATTTAAAAAACCAAAGCTCTTTTACATTATTATATATTGTCTCTTTTTTCAACATGTACGCGTAGATGTTGTACACGTACGCAAGATGCCAGTTTGTTCTAAAAGTCAGTTAACTAGTTTACAAGCTAACCAAACTAGGTATGTTAAAAAATGCATATGGATTTTTGAGGCGTGGTACATTTGGTACATTTGGTACAAATGGTACATTTAAACAATCTTTGAAATCTTTGGAAAAAATAATACAATGCAGAATACAGAATACAATGCTTCCTCATATAATGACTGATGTTAGAATAGTTGCATTTTTGATTAAATGGTTATGTTTAAAATATATAATATAAAAAAAAGACGGTAAAGATATTGTAATTCTAATGAAAAGTAAAACTAATTTAAAAAATGAATCATACATTTTGAATACAAAAAGAAAAATTAAAAAACAAATTGAACCAATCAACACATTAGATATAAATGATTTCCCAACGTTTTTTAGAGATAATGTGCAAAATTATATCACATTTGGTAGCTATCAGATAAAGCAAAGTTAGTTATCTAGTAGAACATTTATATGAAAAAAATACTATTTTGATTAATAAAAATATCCAACAAATTCAAAATTGATTTCTGCTGAAATTCAGACAAGACATTCAAACGCTATTAAGTATAGATTTTTAAAAAAATATTTGACAAACATCAATGTACCCGAATCAGTATTGTCTTTGGCATATGGGTGTTTTTCTGGTTTAAAAACATATGTTTGCTGTTGCCACAATGCTAGCATCATATTCTGTTTGTGTTGCAGAAAGTATTTAGAAAAACCTTAAAATCCAGGCTCAAGGCATATGTTTTTTATTTAGAAAAACCTTAAAATCCAGGCTCAAGGCATATATTTTTTATTTAGAAAAACCTTAAAATCCAGGCTCAAGGCATATGTTTTTTATTTAGAAAAACCTTAAAATCCAGGCTCAAGGTATATGTTTTTTATTTAGAAAAACCTTAAAATCCAGGCTCAAGGTATATGTTTTTTATTTAGAAAAACCTTAAAATCCAGGCTTAAGGTATATGTTTTTTATTTAGAAAAACTTTAAAATCCAGGCTCAAGGTATTTGTTTTTTATTTAGAAAAACCTTAAAATCCAGACTCAAGGTATATGTTTTTTTTACTAAGTGAAAATGAATCACAATGTGAATCTGAAAAAGAAATAGAACAGAATGAAACTATGAAACAGGATATATGAAAGAGTTTCACACAACATATTATCTCTAAGAAAACAAAATTTAATGTAAAATTGAATATAATTAACTCTGAATTAAGTATTACGCTATTGAATAAGAAATCTTCCAAAACAATTAATGAACTTTAATTTGTTTTCAAAACATTTGCCAAAATAGAGTGGTTGTATTTTGTTAAATAAAGATGAGTTTAAACCAGATACAGATTATTTTTCACTGCGTCAGTTATAATAAAGTATCATCATTCAAAACAATTGCACACTTGATTTTTGTTGGCTATTTGGTACTCATCTTTATTTCCAAAAAACATAATTATATTACAAGAGAACAAAAAAGATATAAAAATATATAATCACATACTTAATACACTTTCTCCTATTAAATGTTGTAAATGGGATAGAGTAAAAACTATATGGATTCTTCTTGTTATGAAATTAAAACCAAATGAACTTTCAGTACTCTTGATATAGAATGCATTTTTAAATAGATTTTCAGACAATTGAATTTAATTGTTTAACTTATAACAAACTACTTGTACAAAAATCAAAATTCTTTTTATAGCATCACAGTGGAGTTAAAATTAAAATATATGCGATAATTAAAAGTTGAGTGTTTTTGTTAGGGATTGTCCATAAAGTGTTGCATAAAGTTCTTAACAAATAGAAAAAGGTGACTATTGGTTCTCTTGTGCTAAGACTTTTAAAGCAATATAGTACTTTATGTTCAATAAAGACCTCTATGTAAGAGAAAGAATGATCTTTTAAATTTTTTTAATTACTTTTTTTAATTATTTAAAAGTTAAATTTAGCACTAAATACTTTAAAGAAAAACAAAAAACAAAAAGCTGTTTTCTTATAGTGATTTGTTTTAAAACTGCTTCATAGAAAAAAGTCCTTTAATAATGGTTAGGGCACCAAATATTATTTTTAAAAGTTTATAGAGAAACCTTGATTCGAATATATGGAAATTTTTTTAATTGAATCTCTTTTTTGATTCGATTTGTATTATATATATATATATATATATATATATATATATATATATATATATATATATATATATATATATATATATATATATATATATATATATATATATATATATATATATATTACATTTTAACTTTATGTGAGTTTCTAATTTATTTTTCAGTAAAGCTTAAGTTTTAAATAGAGCTCTCATTAGTTTGTATGCAACAATTGCACAATTGTTATAAATATTATATATTCTTTTTATATATTTATTTTTGCATGCCAATACTTGTTTCAGGTTGGCAGCTGTATGCCGTAGTAAAGTAAAGACAGATAAGCTTTTGCATCAGTATTACAGTATGTCAATCTGGATTTCATGGGCTATAAAAGGCTAATAAGTTTACTTTATGGTAAGCAACAACATCATTAACATTGGTTTACTCATTTTATATCTTTAGAAAAGTTCTTAATAAGTTCATAAATATAAAAACTTGATAAACAAGCAACAAAATCAATTTAGATTACCACATGTTAGTACCAATTTTAATTATTGCATAATATAAACACTTACAAATTTTAAAAATTTGTTTTATACATTTAAACCTTTAGATTAATTGTTAGTAAGCTCATTAATGGCTCAAGTGCATTAAAATAATTTGTCTTAACTGAAAATCTTCCTTGGTCACATCTCTTTAAGATTTTATAGATTTATTTAATTATAGATTAATCATCAAAGAAAAGTAAACATAATAAAATAGAGGAAAAAAAAACAAACTTTGTTTATTTTTAATTTTGTATGAAGAAGAGCCATCAGCTGTTATTTTTCGCTCAATGATTATTGAAGATCCATATTGATCAGGTTTAAAAGCATCAGTGCCTCGGTTTCTTAACGTAACTACTGTGCTGCATGCACTAAAAAAAAAAAAGTTAATGTAAGTTCATTTAAAAAAATTAAAAAACAAGCCTAAAGAAATAATAGTCAAAAAAAGTCAACTTTCAAACATGTTCATTAAAGTTGCAACATGTTGGAATAATGTTGGACTGACATATTAGTGTTTTAAAATATCATTACCTACACCCTTCTTTTATAAATCCTTTCAATGAACTACCTCTGTTTGTGATATTTGCTTTTCCACCAAGTCCAACCATAATGCCAGTTAAAATTGCACTTTTTCCACCTAATTAAACAAATCTGAAAAATTACACAACTAAATAAATTGTTGTGTACTTTTTTACATACTTTTTATTATATATTTTTATTATATATTATATATTTTTTATACATAAAGACATGCAGGGAGTGTACATACATTGACTGACTTAAATAGATAAAATATACAAGGAGTGCCGCTACATTGACTCAGGGTTTTGGTTTGGGAAAGCTATCTACAGTAGAATTCCATTAACTTGGACTTTGAAGGGGTATATATATAAATTGTCCAACTTAATGAATGTTCAAATTATAGAAAGTTCTCATGTCAGACTTTTTAAAAATATCAGACTTATCAAGATTATACTATATATATCGAGATTATATTATGATATATTTAGTTTTTTTCTTTTGAACATCCAATGTTTACTTTGGAATGCCATATTTCTTTGATATAGATTAATAATTATTAAATATAATACAATCAAAATTTATGATTTTAATTGTACTATGTTTAATAAATATTAATTACAAAACATTCTTTTTTGTTTTTTTTAAACATAAATAAATAAATCAAATCTCCTTTGTCAAGATCTTTTAGTATTTTTTCTGGTATAGTTCTACTTGTTTTTTTTTTTAGCAATCTTTCACATTTTTAATAAATAAAACTTGATGGAAGATTAACTGAATTGATGATATCAGTGAAAATGTATAGTTTGTTAAACTATATTTGGCCCAACGGTATTTAATTTTTGAACGTTATAAGTTTGGAATTTTAATTGATGTTTTTGAAATCTTAATAAAATAGTCATTAATGAATAGAATTTAATCAAAGTTTAACCATATCAAAGAGTGAAAATGTTTAATTATAATTGACTGATGGTATTTTATTTTTGAGTGTTCAAAACTTGGAATTTTATTGAAGTATTGGAAATTTTATTATATGAAATTTTGTTATTATATTTACTATTTTGTGCATTGCAATTGGCTTTGGAAATACCGCATAAATTATAATATAATAACCGCATAAATTAAACTAGATTTTTAGATGAAATAGTCAAAATAATTAAAGTGATCTTCAAGTGCTGAGTGTTTACATATCTTAAATAGTCCTTAAAAAATAAGTTTCATATTATTTAAACGTTCCAAAACAAAGTATCAAAACATTAGCAAAAAACTTTTTAATAAATAATTTTCAACACCATTTTTTTTTCTTGAAAGTAAGTTTTAATTTTAACACAATTTTTTTTCTCAAAGGTAAGTTCTGTGTTTATCACTGCAGTGTTTATATACTGCAAAATCAAATTTACACCACTGCAGTGTCAATTTTTAAAAAAATTGTTGATTTTTTTTTAAATAAAGAGTGCAGTGATAAACGCTTCTGCATTTATTAATGACATCAAATGATAAAAGCTTTTTCAACTTTGACTTGAGCTATAAATGTTATGTTTGGGTTTTACCTTTTGCAATTAATTTTTGTGTAGATCAATACTTTTACATATAACTTAATTTATATTTTATATTATTTTAATAAATTTATATTTTATATACATTTATAAAACGTATTTGGATTTAGTAAGAAAATTATGAAAATAAATTTGATTTCACAGTAAATGAAAACTAAATATTTTAATGGAAATAAAAATAAAACAAAGTAGAAAAGCAGTGTTCTTGAAAATAAAATGGACATTACAAAAACCAATTAATTAGTTTAAGGTTGATGACTTGAATGAGAAAAACTTTATGTGCCTTTCTGAATGTGCTTAAAAGATCAAATTTGGGCCCTTATTTGGTACTGATGATGTCACGCTGATAATTTTTTTTTTATCAAACTAAAAAATACATATTTACGTAAAATGTTTGATAACCTCTTTAGAAAACCTTATAATATATTGCAACATCTTGAGAAAAACTTACAGGTAATTCTAAAAGTCCTTAATGGGTCAAATTTGGGCCCTGATTTGGTACTGATGATGTCAGGCTAATAAGTTTTTTAAAAATATATATAGTTATGTTAAACTAAAAGCTTCTTTAAAAAAAAATTGAACTGATTCTTAAGAGGGAAAATATTACTAGGGTCTTGATTGATGACTTCAAGGATAAATACATTTTCATTTTTTTGCGTGCGTGTGTGTGTATATATATATATATACATACATATATAAATATATATATATACAGGGGCGCACAGAGGGTGGAGGATCCGGGTCAGTTTCCTCTAGGCAACATGTTTATGGGGCATCATCAGAGGACAAAAAAAAACTAGAAGTGCTTTATTATTCTTATTACTTTTATTTTAGTGGTGCTAAAGTAAGGGCATCCAGTAAATTTTTAATTTTCTACCCCGAGCATTATGAAGTGTATATATATATATATATATATATATATATATATATACATATATATATATATATATATATATATATATATATATATATATATATATACATCCTTAGAGTGTAGTCGAAAGAGTCTTTTAATGTAAAAAAAGTCTCTTTCGACTACAATTTTAATTACCTCGTCTCTTAAGCTGTATTTGATTGTTGTCGAAATGTCAAAGCAATTAAATTAATGCAGAAGTACATTAAATTTTATCGTTTCTTAAAAAATTTTTAAAAAACCGCAATAATAACGACTAGAAAGTTTTTTTCAATTAGTGGTGTTTTTGTTTTTGTTTTATTAAAAAACACTTTTAAAACATGCATAAATGTTGCTACATCGACTATCTTATAGCCTGCTGCTACAAGGAAGTGTTTCTACATCGACTATCTTATAGCCTGACTCGCAACGGAGTGCTGCTACATTGACTGACAAACAGTTTGACTCGCAAAGGAGTGCTGCTACATCGACTGAGGGTTTGGTTTGGGCAGGCAGTCTATCATTTAAAAAAAAAAAAATTAAAGTTTCTAAACTTTTTCTGGTCTGGTTTATTAACGCGCTTTTTAAAACTACAGTTTATGGGAAACTCTTATATATATATATATATATATATATATATATATATATATATATATATATATATATATATATATATATACATATATATATATATATATATATATATATATATATATATATATACATATATATATATATATACATATATATTTATATATATACATACAACTTATCTATTTGGTCGAAATGGATTACATTAAAGGTAGAAGAGTCCCCAACTTTGAAAAAAATTGATTTGTATTCTTCAGAATGTCTCATTAGTTTAAAGAATTTTGACTTACCAATCCCGTAAAATGTACTTGTGTAATCATTCCCACTAAATGCATGAAGAGCAAGAAGAGCTTTGCAATAATACCTAACTGTGAGGCTATAAGATTTATATCAAGAATCTGTCAATAGAAAGGCCAATATCCACACAAAAAGTGTATTTCAATCTGGTTTTGGAAGTACAAAGCATAAATAGCAATATCTGTGTCAACTGTGTGAATACAAACAGTTTTGAAACCAATAGATGTGCTTAGAGCACAAGAGTACTTTTGTATCTTCTTCCAATCACTGCACCATGGCTGCTATGAAGTTATTTCACATTTTCACTAGTTATCGTTACAAATTGTACCTTTATGGACTAATTTTATGTATAATGCCTGATTTTTTGTTGTATTTAAAACCAGACATAATGATTACGTATTTTATTGATAAAATAAAAAGAAAAATATTTACCATGGATTCTACTTTAATAATAATAATGATTTTTAGGTGTACATACTTTTAATGAATGCTTTGTCTAATAAGTGATAAAATCAACCATTATATAGAAACTAAAGAACTAAATTTTTAAGAGTCAAGCAAATTTAAAAGTAATATTTTTAAAGTAATGTATTATTGCCTGTTGTCGTTGTATTTCTAATACCTGAACAAATGTAACTAACATAATAAATAAATGTTTAAATATCTAAAAGTTTAAATAAATATTCACATGCTTTTTAGATTCTTTTTCTTAGAATAACTTTATTTTTATAATTATTATTTTTTTTACAATTCTTTTATTTATGCCATATTAAAAAAATAGATAAGTTTTTCTTTTGTAGCTTTTGTTTTGATGGAGCCAAATTATGTGAATTAGTTGGCAACTATATTGTATACACAATTGCCAAAGAATATGGTCTTAATACTACCAGTTTATATAGAAATGATGGTCTTTGCTGCTTCTATAATATCAGTGGTCCTCAATCGAAAAAAATAAAGAAAAATCTAAGAAAAATTTTAAAAGACAATTTTAATCTTAACATTACTATCAGACCTTAAAACTTAAAAACTGTAAATATTCTTGATATAACATTTAACCTTTCTGAGAACTCTTTTAAACCTTAAAGAAAACCAGGAGATAAGCCTTTATATATTAACATCAATTCCAATTGATACCAAAAATGATCTCTAATTGCATCAGTAATATATCTTCAAGCAAAGAAGCTTTTGATAGATCCACACCATTTTATAATAACTCTCTCAATTCTTGTGGATTCAAAGATAAGATTGATTTCATTCCAAAAATCCAGAAATATAATACAAAATCTTGAATAAGAAATAGTATCTAGTTTAACCACCTTATTCACTCAACATCAGAACAAACGTAGCAAAAACATTTTTGAGTACAATTGATAAACATTTCCCTAAAGGCCACAAATTTCAAAAACTTTTTAACCGGAACAACTAAAAGATTAGTTATAGCTGCCTTCCAAACATCAAGAGTATTATTACTTAAGTGAAGATGGTAATTATAGAACTAAAATAAAAAAAAACTTTTTTGAAATTCATTTTTTTTGTTTTATTGCCTTAAAATCAAAAGTATTTTTTTGAACATCTTTTTCATTTTTATAAAGACTTTGGGTTATAAAAAATTTATTTGCATAAGAAGCGCTTAAAGCAAGTGAGAAAACTCAAGTCACTGATGCCAAGAGTGTGCTTTTTCTAAAATAAAAAGAGCAAATAAGATCAATAGTTTTTAATAACTATTTTGGTTTTCAAAAATATTTTCAAGTTAACCCATAGCACTATATGCAACCCTCCATAGCACTATATGCAACCCTCCATAGCACTATATGCAAAAATGACTTAACTGTACAAGAATTACGACAAATGTGAAATTTGGCAATAATTCAAAATGCAAATTTCCAAATTAGCAATTAAAAATTACAAAATTAAAAAAAAAATTAAAAATAGCTACAAAAAAAATTATATATATATTATATATTTATATATATATATATATATATATATATATATATATATATATATATATATATATATATATATATATATATATATATATATATATATATATATATATATATATATATATATATATATACCACTGTGTGTATATATATGTATATATTACATCATATTGTTCAACATTCAGCAAACAAAATAAATACAGGTTAGAATTGGAACAAGTAATTTCTATATATAAGACAGACCTGTTATGGTAAAAGAAAATGATTTAATTTAATAAGAACAAACTATACATACTTCCATTTCTTCCTATCACAAAGTTTACATTTGTTCCAAATGAAACCTCTAATTTTTTGTGACACATAAAGTTGCTGAGTACAATTTTTTCAAGTATTCCAGATTCAGCTTCGTCCTAAAATATAAAGCTTACTGAATTACAGTTTATAGATACATAAATATAAATAAAAATATAAAACTCACTGAATAACAGTTTATAGATACATGCATATAAGGTTTGATTGAAAAATACTTTTTTTTATTATTATCAAAAAAATGTTACAAACTGTTGTCGATAACCCTTCTTCTAAAATATTTGATTTGCTTTTTTTATTTCGAGGTTCGATTGTGATTTGATTTTGCTCACACAAAACTTCCATTTCATTCTCTTCATATTTGTTTTCATTTTGATAGTCAAATGTATCTTTATTTTCCAAAAAGGTTTCTCCACTTTTACGTTTCATGATTTACTTGACAAAAAACATATTACAAAATTCTAATTATTTACACTTAAATCATTGAAAATGTTTAGGTTAATTTTTTTCTGTGGTTAACCCCAAACTGTTTCATTCAAATAGGGATTTTAAACTTTCAATTAAACTATAAGGTTGCAGTCACATTTTTTAGACTTAATAGATTTAAGAAAATGTAAATATGTAAATATTTAATTTTTAAAGGTGGTAAAAAAAAATTTCCAAATAAAACATCTCAAATGTTTTTCTCAAATTTTGGCTTTTCGATTTTACTAAAATGTAAAAAAAACTACTTACTAGTTACTATTTATAAATTTTTACAAGTTTCACATTAATTTTATATTACAGTAGATGTTACATAAAAATAATATTTTTAAATAATATAAATTATTATTTGTTTATTATTTCAGATACACCCCTATTTATTGATATTTTAGGGGATGTTTTAATGTTTTTGTATGTCTCAATGTTTTCACTGAAAAACAAAAACGAAATTAAATAAAAGATTGAAAAAGCTTTTATTTACTGTTTATTTTAAAACATAAAGGTCAAATCAATATGATCAATAGCACACATACTAATATACTAACGACAGTTGCTTGTCAAACATTTTAATATACACAAATATTTTTAAATGAACTAACTAGATATAGTATATAATTAATAATAGAAAACTATATATTATGTTTAAAGTTTTATATTTATCCTTAGTAACAATTGTGACTTTCTTGCTTACAACAAAGAAAAATTACAAGCAAAACAAAAAGCAAACAGGGTGATGTAAAGCTTCCATCAAAATTTTCATACTTCTTTTTGAAAAACCTAGGAAACTAAATGAAAAACATTTTTATTTTCACGTACTTATTTGCATTTAAGCATTTACTATTCACTAAAATAGTTTATAGAAATATAAATGCTCTATTAAATGATAATAAAAATTTTCCTTAACAATTTATTTTAACAACTAATAACACTATATAGAACTAACTTATATTAGACTAAACTGTGTTTATTACTAACAAAGAATTTCTTTTTAACAACTTTTCTGAAAATCGTGAGACAAAGAATACAAATTAAATCAAATAATCATCTTTACCTAATAATCTATTATATCTATACTTCTTGTTTTTATTGCATAATATTATTTAGTGAAGAGATATCTGTTATACATTTTATCTTTATACATTTTTATAAAACAACTTCATTAAAAAAAAGTCTAAAACTTTAGTCTGGTAGCAATAAGCATAAACTTATATGGAACTAAAATCTTAGAAAAAATAAAATTTTTAACACAATAAAATTGATTTTATTTATGCATTATAAAATATTAATCATATTGCAATCATATTTTATTGCAATATGATTAATATTTTAAGCTTATTTTAAGCTTTTATTTTAGCCTTGGCAGAACATCATTAGTAATTTGATTCATTAGCCAAGTATATACAACAAGTTTGTATTTGTTTTCTATTTTCTAAATATGCTATTTATACTTGTTTTTAATATTCTAAATGTTTGCATTAACTAAAGATAAAGTTTAAAACTTTCATAAAATATGATTAAACATATATGTAAACATAATTTGTTATAAATTATAAATTTTTCTTAGTTTTTCTCTGCACATTGTACAAAAAAATGTAAAACTTTATATGATATTTGTTCATGCAACAAAACAAATTTTTTATAAATAAATTAATAACACATAAAATTTGTCACAACAAACAAAAGTAAAGTATAAAACATTAAATTTAATAGATGAAATCAAATATGATTTAAAATTTTGACTTCACCATGTTTTATTTTTATCATTTAAAAATATTAAAAATTTCAACTTATGAAAAGTGAAAAACTATTTTTTAAAGCAATGAAAATAAAATACACAAAAATTGATCATACAATAACTAATTTCAATGCAAAAATGTTATCGCTGTAATTTAATACCAATAGAACTACAATTCTTCAAATATGTTTTTTTCTTTGTTGCTATGAAACAGTTTATTTATGCCAATTTCAGAGTTAAAGTAAATGTCTTTTATGACGTCTTCTGCAATATAGCGACTTTTTCTGTTCTTGACCCTTTGAAGCACTAAGTCTAAAGGAACACTTGGAACCCTCCGAACTTTTATTTTATATCCTTTTTCTTTTAAGCGAATCATATATTCTTCAAGTTCTTTATGCTTAACACATGTCCCTTCGGTTACAAAACTTATGTTTTCGTCAAGCAACCAATCTGTAAGCTTTATTGATATGATTCTTGCAGTTGGATAAAAAGTATCAACTTTGTCAGGTTGAAACCCATCAATCAATTCCATTATTTCATCTGTATCAACATAGCTAAAATGTTGATATTGTTCATATTTTTTAAAATCTCTTTTAATAATAGTGGTTTTTCCAGAGCCCATAGGACCTAAAACAAATACAGCTTCAAAGTATTGCTTTTTAATTAAATATTTCTGTTTCCATCTTTCTAGTACATCTTCTACCGATTGTTCAAAAGTTGAATTCATATGACTCAGATCTGCACGAGAACTAAAACAGAGATATGATTCTTTGTTTATACGGTTCCCATCATTAAAAATATATTTCCATAACACTTTTTCTTTTCTTACTTTCAAATACCAATAACACCAAGGAAATTGTATGTTATTAAAATGTTTTAGTGCAAACATTTTTACTAACAATAAAAAATAATTTATTAAGTTAATAATAAACTAAAACTAGTTAAAAAAATAACTTAGCAAAATATATTTATTTTGAGCTAAACAATTTTACAACTTTAATTTTAATTAATTTCTGAAATTTTAAATTTATTTTTTCAGGTCCTGTTTAATAAAACCTTAACAATACTATAAAACTTTGGAGGTAATAACATTGATATTTTTAAAACTAAACAAAAAGTGTGTCTAGTTGCATAATCTTTTAACTCATTATAAATATAACAGAAATTACTATGTGATGTAAAAAGCCATTTTGAAAACGCAGATTTTCAAAGGTTGTAAAAATTTTTAAAAGTTTAAAAAATTGCACTGACTTAAAAAAAAACAGTAAAAACTTTTTTTTATTTAATATATATTACAACTTTACATCTGTGTTACACTAAATTGTTAATTCTAAATTTTGCTGAAAATTATAGTTTTCTTAATTGTAATATTTTACTTAAAAATTGCATTTTTACAATGTATAAATGTTGTATATTTTACAATGTATAAATGTATAAATACTTTGTAAATTTGTTTTATAGGACAGGGCCTAAGTTTCTACATTTGTAAAACCAAGGAAATAAATTTAGTGTATTTTTACTAGCTACAAGTAACCTTTCGTGTCAATTCAAATTTTATATATATATATATATATATATATATATATATATATATATATATATATATATATATATATATATATATATATATATTCAGAAATTTATATATAATAAAAGAGCAACACAAAACATTGCAATTGTAGAGACATCTAAATAGTTATGACAACTGGTTCCATATAGTAAAACAGTTACTACAAGATCTACTCATTTATAGAAAGTTTGAATCATAAAAAGTCATTACGTTTGTTAAATAACATTCACTTGCTCCTTTGAAATGTAATTTAGACAGTTAAATGTGCTAATTAGGTTGTAATTACTAACATGTTTGTCTTTCAAATAAAAAGTTTCTCTGAGTTTCATACTTTTTTGGATTTTGTTTAAAAGATGTTTATAAATTGTACCCACCATTGGAATATGAGACCCTTGTGCAGTGGGATACAAATTGCAAATAATACTTCATACATTTGTACAAAATAAAATATATGAAGTATTATTTAAAAGTTATAAATTAAACTCCTATACTTTATTAATATACTTAATTTTAAAGGTATAAAAAAAATCAATTTAAAATATCAAATAAAATTTTTAAGAGTTTTTCCTAATTAATTGATGAAATTTAAAAAAATTAAAAAAACTTTTGTCTTTGTTGCTGTGAAACGTTTTATTTATGCCAGTTTTAGAGTTAAAATAAATGTTTTTTATAATTTTTTCTGCAACATGACAAATCTGTGCTTGACTCTTTTATTCTTTTGACCCCTATCTTATAAAATCAGTAGAAAATAAAAAATAACAAGTTCATTAACTATGATCTTAGTTAACAATGATTATTCAAAGAGGTTGATTACATATTTTACCCTATAATGGAATTCCTGATCATCAGAAGTTCTATCATGTCATTATTCTATCTGTTATCAGGCTAATGACAGATTCTTTTTTAACTCAATGAAATTTTCCTAAATATTATCTTATTTACCAAATAAGATAGAATAATAAACCAATTAGTTTGGTTTTTTAATAATACTAATACTGTTATTTTTTTAATTTTATTTTATTTATTTTTTTTTTTTTTTTGACCTCAAAATATTATTTCAATGTCTTTTCAGTATCAGTTGATATTTATTCGAACATTTTTAAAAGGCCTTTAGCCCTTATTTTGTATATAACAAAATAATTTGTATATTTAAAACACTTATGCTTTTAATATTTTATTGAAATATTTTATGAAATTTTTTCATGGTTAATAAATAATATTTATTACTTAATACTATTATCGATAACCCTTTTCTTATTTACAAAATATAGTTAATAATATGTTATACTGTTAATGATATTTATATATAACAGTATATTGTTAAAGATATTTTATCGATAAGAAAAGTACCATTTTCTTATCGACAAAATATCATTAACACAATGTCGATTGTGAATAACATTTACCCAATGTTGATTAATGATACTTTGTCGATAAAATTTAATGTTTTTTTTACCGACGTCGCAAAATAAATTTACTGGAAAGTTAAAAAAACAAGATTTTTAATCATCCGGATCCCATATTTTGAAACCCAATACAGTCTCAGAACATAGTTTTAGGAATAAATTATGACTATGCTCAGAATTAGGGTTGAATACCATTAACACAATGTTGATTAATGATATTTTGTCGATAAAAAAAGTAATTGCCGGTTAAAGCCGGACAAAAATTTTGTGTTTATTTTAGCGTTGGATGCCGACGTCGCAAAATAAATTTAAAAAAAAAAAGAATTTTTAATCATTCCGATCGCATATTTTGAAATCCCATATACACTCAGAACATAGTCTTAAGAATAAATTATGACTATGCACAGTGGTCTGAAAAACTTGATTTTTGGCCAAAATTTAAAAAAAAAAAGTCTGTTATTTTTTTTATTTTTATTATTTTTAAATACAACATTGTCTAGGCAATTAAAAAATATATAGGTTTCATAATTTTTTTTGAAAGAAAAGTCAATAGCCGTATCCAAGAGCAATTAAAAACCGATGAATAATTTCTTTCAAAAATACAACTATTTTTCATTTGTGTATAAATTTAAAACTATATACACATATATATATAGATTTTTTAAACAAATTTGAAATAATAGTTTTTTATTATTGTATATTTACATAAGTTATTTATGTTTGAAACTAGCATAAATAAAAGTTTTTTTTTCAATTTCAACTTCTTCCTAAAACTTATGTCCGTACGCATGACTTGATCGATACGATTTTATTAAATCATAATATCCATATATTAATTAAAAAAAAAAATTAGCTGCAAATAAAATTATTTAATTTAACTTTAAAGCTTCCAAAATATCTTTTTTATGTTATCAAAAAGACTAGTGTCACTATTTTTGTTTTATATCTATAAATACATGTTCAAATATATTTTTATTTTTTTCTTTATACAATCGTTTTTTTGTTTTTTGTTTGTTTTTTTTTTGTTTTTCTTTTTTTTTTTTTTTGATGTTATTTAGGTGCCACAAGAGGACTTAACGGTCTTTTCAGAAAGCATTGCGGAAGTGCATGTATCCAAGAAGTTCGCACCTCCTTCCTTACCGTCAAACGAAATATGTACAGAGCTTATTTCGAACCTGGATTTCCTGCTCTAGAAGCAAGCGCTCTAACCACTGCGCCGCGGCCGCATAAATTTGCTATCTAAGTTGTTAAAAGTAGTATATTCATTTTGTTTCATTTTTATAAAATATTCCATATATTTAATTAGATGAAAATACTTGAAAAATAAACATTTTGGTAAATTTAAAATGTAAAACGCAAAGTCCGCAATTAAAACATATTTAAAGTTAAAAATTAATTATTAAAAATTAAAAATTAGTTAAAATTAAAAATTAGTTAAAATTATTATATTTTGAACATCTATTATCGTTTAATAATTCCTAAAAAAATCAGCTGCAAATAGTTAAAACAAAGGAACTAATATTCATTGCAAACTATACCGTATTAAAACTATATTTATGTTGCTTTTATACCATATTTAATCATATCTTTGTTATTCCGTATTGTAAGCATACTTGTTATATTATGGTAGGGTTTGGAACTTATGCGCATATCGGCGAATATATGCGCATACCATTTAAAAGTTATGCGCATAATTATGCGCATAACATGCATATGATGCGTATACAAATTTAACAGATAAGTTAAAACAGTTTCCCTAGTACCCACTCCTGTACCCAACTCAACAAATAATAAATGGCTGACGAACTCAACATCAAACAGCTACAATAGACAAAGTACAGCGATTATAATAAGCCAAAAATCTCTTCCGATAAGCTAAAAATCAAAATTACAACAACCAACACAACCAAAAGAAAAGAAACCAAAACAACTCATCTACTGGGCCAATAACCCTTGCTCACTTAATGGCCATAAAATTGACGAACTAAGAGCCAAAATTACCTCAATAGACACTTTACTTTAACCACACATAATTTTGATTGCCGAAACTTGGTTCACCGACAACTCCGACACAAAAAAAGCTGGGTACCAACTGTTTTAAAAAAATAGAATTGGAAGAGGAGGAGGAGTGGCCATCTACACAAAAGAAAGCCTCGATTGTTCTTTCACCAAAATTGACCAACTCAACCGCACCACTATTGAGCAAGTCTGAATCAAATTAAAATTTTACGACGAATCAATTTTATTAGGCTGTCTCTACCGTCCTCATGACCTGAACGACTTAACGCTAGATGAAATAATAAGCTCAATAAGTACTGCCTCTGACAAATGCAACTCAATTAATGCCTTTTAATTGCCAATTAATGCCTTTCAAGCAGCGTGTTGAAGCGAACAGACGCGTTTTTTCCACAGCGTGTTAAATTTTAAATTAAATATGGAAACCTCATTAAAAAATATAGAAAAATTAATTATCAAGAAGTTGGAGGAACAAAAAATATGTATATTACAAGAAACAGAAAAGTTGTTGAAAGAACAAGAAAAAAGCTTCGCGTCGATAATGAGTGCAAACTTGAAAATATTAACGGAAAGAATAGAGAAAATTGAAATATATGTAACAAATAATAAATCCAACATTATGAATATCGAAAAAGATCTGAACGATGTCAAAACAACATTAAACTTCCAAGAAACAAACCTTATAGATAAAATAAAACAAATTAGAAAGTGTTATGACAACGAACTAAATATTTTGACCGAAAAAACAATCGATCTCGAAAACAGATCTCGACGAAACAATCTGCGAATAGATGGAGTAAAAGAAAAAGCAGGTGAAACCTGGACTGAATGCGAGGATACAGTTAAAGATATTTTCAAAAACTAACTAAAAATAAATAGCAAAGTTGTTGTAGAAAGAGCGCATAGAGTAGGCAAAACAAAAGATAGTAAAACACCTAGAACTATATGCGTTTTAACTTTAATGAAATAAATGATGTAAATATAGAACCTGATATAAACTATTCCTACGAGGGGCTTACGGATTGCTCATATCACTTTCCAAGCGATTTAGAAGGGTTTCTTTTTAAAAATGTTTATGACAAATATTTAAATAAAATTATGATACTACACGTAAACATTCGAAGTCTTAATAACAATTTTGAAAAACTTTTAAACTTGTTAGAGGAAACAAAAAATCGTTTTAACATAGTTTGTTAAACTGAAACCTGGATTTCAAATAACATAGATAATACTTCGAACTTTTATATTCCTCATTTTAAATTAATTTCGTTTAAAAGACAAGTAACTAAACGCGGCGGAGGAGTCCTTATATATGTGTATGAAAATATTGTTCATTACGTTAGGAATGATTTAAGTGCTTCTGATAGCGATAAAGAAAATATGAATTATTGAAATTATGAACAATCAATCTATTGAAACTATTGAAATTATGAACAATCAATCTAAAAACATGTTATTAAGCTGTTATTATCGCCCACCTGACGGCGTGAGCGAGAACTTGAGCATTTTTTTTGAACAAAGTATTTTCAAAAAAGGTATTAAAGAAAACAAAAAGAACTTCATTATTGGAGACCTAAATATGAATTGTTTTCTTTATAATAAAGATAACAAAATTTAAAACTTTCACGACTCCTTTTTTGAAGCGGGAGCAATTCCTTTAGTAAACAGGCCAACTAGAGTAACAAAAAACTCGGCGTCTTAGATTGATAATATTATTACAACAGATATATTCAACAATGATATTCAAACAGGTATCCTAAAATCTGATATAACTGACCATTTTCCAATATTTTTGAAAATTAATTCTGAAATTAAAAATAAAATAAACAAAATTAAAATCCACATTTTTAACCATACAAATATAAAGTTGTTTAAAAACCAACTATCGTTACTGCACTGGAAGCATATTAACTTCAATGACAATGCAGACAAAATTTATGATAACTTTTTTACTCCGTTTATGACGCAAACTTTCCTATTATTGAAAAGACAATAACTCCAAAAAATAAAAATAACCCTTGGATAACAAAAGGATTTAAAAAATCATCCAAGATTAAACAGAAGCTGTATATAAAATATCTTAAAACGAAATCATCAGATAATGAGAAAATATATAAAAATTACAAATATCTCTTTGAAAAAGTTCGTAAAAACTTGAAAAAAAGTTATTACACAAGACTTCTAGATAAATTCACAAAATAACACAAAACGCAATTGGCAAATAATGAACGAAATTACTGGCAGACAAAAAAATGCTCAGGTTTCCTTCCCCAGATGTTTATAGTGGATAACAAACGCATATGCGAACCAAAGGCTATAGCTCATAAGTTTAATAAATTCTTCACTGACACTGGTCCTAAACTAGCAAATAAAATTCCTTATACCAAAGCAACATTTAACGATTTTCTAGTACAGATGGATAATTGCATTAGTTCCAACGAATTATATTCTGAGCTAACTTTTTAAGGATTCCAAAAATGCATTCAAATCCCTTTAAAAAAACAAAGCAAGCGGAGCAGATGACATAAACGGTAATATAGTTATAGAATGTTTTGAACAATTAAAAGATATACTTTTTAAGGTTTATGGAGCATTTATCCACGAAGGAGTTTTTCCGGATCAATTAAAAATTGCTAAAATTACCCCAATTTTAAAAGAGGGAGAACAAACAAATATCAGTAATTATTGTCCTCCGCTCTCTGCACATTCTTAAAAATACTAGAACGCATTATGTATAATAGATTATACAATTATCTCCTTTCTAATAATTTGTTATACGCCAACTAGTTTGGTTTTAAAAAAAATAATTCGACGGAACATGCAATTATCCAACTTGTACGTGAAATTTCAAATTCTTTTGAAAAATCTAAATTTACATTAGGTGTTTTTATCGATCTATCGAAGACGTTCGATACTGTAGATCATGAAATTTTGATACAAAAACTGAAATACTATGGAATAAATTACAAAGTTATAAAATGGTTCTGAACTTATTTATCTAACCGTAAACAATTTGTTTTTAGTAATAGTTGTTATCCAAATGAGTTCCTAAATGTTTCATGTGGCGTTACCCAAGGTTCCATTTTGGGACCACTGTTGTTCTTGATTTATATAAACAACCTAAATAAAGCCTCAAATTTAATGAGTATAATGTTTGCTGATGAAACCAACTTATTTCTTTCAAATAATGATATTTACAAACTCTTTTCTAGTATGAACGATGAACTTAAAAACATATCAAAATGGTTTAAATGCAATAAGCTAACTTTTAACAGTAACAAAACAAAATGGATTCTCTTCCATTCAATCGCAAAAAAACCTTATTTACCCCAAAATTTACCAGAAATCTTTATTGATAATACTGTGATAAAAAGACTATGTCACAAAGTTTTTGGGTGTTTTTCTTGATGAAAACATCACATGGAAAGCGCATATTGACTATATTAGCACAAAAATTTCTAAAAGCATTGGAATTTTATATAAATCCAGAACATATCTATGTAAAAAAGATTTAACCCAACTATACTACTCATTTATTCATACCTATTTAAATTATGCAAATATTGCTTGGGGAAGCACAGAAAAAAGCAAGCTACAATGTCTTTACCGCTGTCAGAAGCATGCGATCCGCTTAATTAATTTTGCGGATTGGTACACTCATTCCAAACCTTTTTTTATTGAAATGAAAATTCCTAATATCAGGTGATTCATAAATAATGATACCTTTTTGTATTGATTAATTTTAGCCTCTATAGTACAAAGTATGAACCGCACATAGTCTTAAAAGATAGAGATTTTTGTGCTGAATAACGTACCATTCTCATTTTTTTTCTGCGCGCACGCAAGTGAATCAGTAACAATGAAAAGTCAAGAATGTTGTAATTTCTAAGTATAAAAATGGTGATGGTCCAACTAAAATTTTTCGTGATTTGAGTGGCACTCTTACCAACAATCAAAAGATGGTGCAAAATGATTGCCAAAGATGGTACAATCAAACTTTCAAAACCTCCTGGTCGTCTTCGCACAGCTCGAACAAAAGCAACTATCCAAAAAATAAAAAACCGGCTGAAACGGAAGAAAAAGCCAATTTCTACACGAAAATTCGCAAACGAACTCGATATTTCTCAACCAAATGTTTATCGTGTTCTTAAAGATGATCTTCAGCTTCGATCCTACAAAATTATCCGAAGACCACAAAGAAAAGAGATTTAAATTTACAAATTGGATTCGTAACAATTATCGAAAAGCTGATACGATGCGAATCCTTTTTTCTGACGAAAAATTTTTTGATATTGATGGTATTTATAACTCTCAAAATGACAGAATATGGGCTTCAAATCACGTTGAAGCTGATAGCATCGGAGGAATCAAGCAGCGAAGAAAATTTCCTGAACGTGTTATGGTTTGGTTAGGAGTTTGTTCAAAAGGTGTATCACCATTAGTTATTTTTGAAAAGGGTACCGTTAACCATGAAAGGTATATTGAAGAAGTTTTATCAGTTGCCAAAAAATATGGCAATAAAGTATTTGGTGAAAACTGGATATTTCAGCAGGATGGTGCACGAGCACATACACACCGATTGACACAACAATGGTGTCAGGACAATTTTCCTGATTTTTTTCCTAAAGAACGTTGGCCTCCAAATAGCCAAGATTTGAACCCATTAGACTTTTCTATCTAGGAGGAATTTAACCATGCTATTGATTCGAGTCGAGTAAGCTCAAAAAAAACGTTAATTGTTGAGTTAAAACGTGCAGCAAAGAGAATTAGATTTGAAATTGTCTTAGAAAGTTGTAATTCTTTTTCAATTCGATTAAATCATGTTTGTGAGAATGGTGGAAACTATTATTCAAAATAAAAAGACATTATCTTATAGAAAAAAAATTTCTCTATCTTTTGAATCTATTTTGAATGTTAGTAAGTTAATATCTTAGTAAAAAAAAACTGAAAAACAAATGGTATCATTGTTTATGAATCACCCGATATTTACGAGCTTAATGTGTTTAATGTTTTATGCTTTACGTATTTGTGGAAAAATGACTTATCCCTACCTATTTTTAAAGTTCTCTTTTGTGAAAAACCAATAAATAAATACACTCTTAGAAATAATAAATTTTTGCATAAACCTTTTTGTCGAACAAACTTTAACCAGTATGGTATTGCTTATCGTGCCATATCTTTGGAATAAAGTTGTTTTGCCAAATTTTGATATATTTTACACTTTTTCAATTTTTGAACATAAACTCAAAAATTTAATTTCATTTTCCGATGACATAATAAGGTTCTTCTAATTATAATTATGTACCTTTATTTAGAACTTTTTTAATTGTAAAGTACGTTTTATGTTAATTGTAAAATACGTTTTAAGTAACGACTCTTTTTGTTTTACTTTTCTGTTTATTTTATATATAGATTATATACATTGTAAATAATTATGCTAAATGCTTGTAAAAGGTTCTGATGATAAGATTAGTACAATCTTCTTTCAGAAACCTTGTTTGTATTTGTTAAAGTATTGTATTACGACAAATGTAAACTTAAAAATGTAAAAAAAAAAAAAAAATTAGCTGCTCAACCTTACTTGCGTATGGCGACTTCAACTTCCGTAACACTGTGTATTCAAATGTCAACGTAGGAGGTGGCATGGTGACTATTGCATACGTACAAAACGATTAGCCAACAGATAGCAAATTTCAAGACTGTCTTGAAGAAAATCATTTGAACCAGCTAATAACTTTTCCAACATATCGCATACTTGCAAGGAACCTTCAAAAAATACTCTTGACTTGATCCTTACTAACAAACCAGACCGAGTAATGAACATAAAAGAAGCTAGTCCTCTCGGCCACACAGCCGAAGGTCAGGCACACTGTCTTATTGAGGGAAGTATAGCTCTCATCAATTTAAAAACTAAAGAACCCGAAACAACTGATTCCTCTAACGTCTACAAGAAGCGTCTGATCTAAAGCAAAGCCGACTACAACTTAATCTCTACGCATATAGAAACATTCGACTGGCAATTGGCTTTCGACGGCTTGAACATTTCCGAAAAATATCAAATATTTATCAACAAATTCAACGAAGCAGTCTTGTTACACGTCCCATCAACGACCACCCCTTATACTAACAGACACAAATTATGGGTGACCAAAGATGTTGCAAATGCTATCAAACTGAAAAGCGAACTCTCGGGCAAATTTATCGCAGCCAGCCGAATAAACAAGCCAACTCTACGCGAACAGCATAAAAAAGCAAGCAAAGTAGTAAAAAAATTAGTTAAAACTGTTCTGGATTACGAAATGGAACTAGTAAATAATAGCAGATATGACCCAAAAATAATCCACTCGTACGTCAAAAGCAAACAAGAAACACACGATCGCATCCGTCAACTTGAAACAACTAATAATCAAACTACAACAGTTCCCAAGGTAATCTGCAACATTCTTTACGAATATTTCTAATCAGTTTCCGAAATCGAACCGCCAGGGTCTATACCAACATTCAACACTCGTTTCACTAGCATAAACCAACCGACCACACTCGCATCATACGAATCCGTCAAAGAAAAACTTTTGGACCTAAATAAATCCAAATCAATGGGCTTCGACGGTATTCATCCACGCGTCCTGAAATACTGTGCTGCAGGATTTGCTATCCCACTGAGCATTATTTTCTCTGAATCGCTTAAAGCTGGAGAAGTATCGTCTCAATGGAAAAAAGCCGAAATTACTCCTATTTTCGAAAAAAGGCTGCAAGTTGAACTCCTCAAACAAACTATCGATCTATCTCACGCACTTTTGTCCTAAAAGCTTTTTACACAAACACATTACTGACCACTTAAACAAAAATAAACTCATGAGCTCTGCTCAACACGGGTTCCGAAAAGGAAAAGGTTGCGTCACAAACCTACCCGAAACTTGTGACATCCTGACTGAAGCTGCCCGCAAAGGTTACCCAACCGATATCATATTCACAGATTTTGCTAAAGCATTCGACAAAGTTCCGCACCGTCGTCTGCTGCACTAGCTAAAATCATATGGAGTGTCCGACAACTTGCACGATTGGATCAAAAGCTGGCTAACCAACCGGTTAAAAAAACCGTCCAAGAACAGATCCTTGTGGCGGTGTGCCACAAGGATCTGTTCTTGGACGACTTCTGTCCCTTATCTACATTAACGATTTGCCAGACAAAGTACAACATCACTTTAAAATGTATGCAGATGACAAAATAATCGGAACTATAGAATCAAACTATGACATCATAAAACTCCAAGCCGATATCAACAAAGAAGTGAAGTGGCTCATGTCATTTAATGTTGAAAAGTGCAAAATTATGCACACCGGGCGCAGCAACAAAAAAATCGACTGCAATTTATACAATGATTAACCTGGACGGCCAACTGCATCAGCTATCATGCACGAGACCTAGGCGTTTTTATAACGAGCAATCTAAAAGTTAAAAAACAAGTCTGTGCGGCTGCATCAGCTGGCAACCGAATGCTTGGCAGGCTCAAGAAGGCTTTTCGAGGTCGAGGTTCTGCATTAAGACGCACACTGTATATTTCGTACTTTCCCCCACATCTAATTTTTCGCAGTACAGGCCTGGTCACCGTTTTTAGCTCAAGACATTGCCAAACTTGAATTAGTTCAACACCGAGCCAGAAAAACATATTGCCTCCCTTAAACACCTTTCGTATGCTCAAAGACTATCAAGCCTTAACCTGACAACATTAACTAAACGGCGAGAAAAAAGAGACCTTATCGATCAATATAAAATTATGACCAAATTGATAAAGTTAACTTTTACGTCCCTAAACTTCATCCTAACACGGAATCTTCAAAGTACAGTTTTCGGCCGCGTGGACACACTAAAGAACTAAAAGCACAACTTGTCCGAAACTGCGCTGAAAGAAGCAACTTCTTCACCAACCGTATTGTAAGATTATGGAATTCTTTAACCCAAAATGCGATGGACGCAAAGAACTTGAACAGTTATAAACACGAACTTTATCTACTACGGCATCTTCGCTTAAGCTGAAATTGAAAAACTGTATTTTCATAACAGAGAGGCCTGGTGTGCCGCTCTTTGTCAAAAAAAAAAAATTTAAATTTATTTTTGACCATGAATGAATGAACCTAAACCTAAGATAAATGCTAAATAAATTAATTAAATATTGTCAAATATAAATAAAAATGTTTTCTAAATCAAACGCAAGACTTTAAATTAAAAGAAATAACTTTTTCATTCGATTTTCTGTAATTAATTTTATTTAAAATATTTCAAATTGTTTTCATGATTTTTAAACAAATTTCTATATCACAAAACTTAACAATTTAATTTATTTTTGTATTACATTTGCTCATTTAAAGTTTCTTCACACTCAAACTCAAAACTGCAACTTCCTCTAAAATGTAGCCAATTTTGTCATTAGTATCTATCAAAACACTATTGGTATATATGAAAACTAATTATTTTATGCATCCGTTTTTCAAGAAATTTCTTAACCGTCAATGAATAAATTGAAAAATTGACCAAGTTTTCTCTGCTTAAGCTGACGAAAAAATCATTTCAATAATAGATTTTGCAACTTCAAAGACTGGACAGTTTTCATATAATAGAGTAGAGTGGAGAGAAGTGGTACAGTCTGAAATTTCTAATTAGGAGTGGTGCCTAAATAATGTTATTTAATGTAAAAAATTAAATTGAATCCCCTCTATTTATCAGAAATTTCTTTGTTTCCTCGCGTGCGCTAGAAACCCAAATTTTGAAATGTACCTTAAAAAAGTATTTACATTGGGGTGAAGTGGGACAGAAAAAAGAAATAGTTATGCCCGCTTCTTCCTGTCGCCATTTGATTATTTCGATTGGTGAAAGCTCTTGAACAATTTTATGTCGACTAGGTAATGTTATGATATTATCAGTTTCTGTTTAATAATTTGTGTTAAAATGTTGTTTTAAATTTATTTGTCCCACTTCTACTCACACTTGTCCCACTTTACCCCAATGGCACGGTTTCTCTAAAAGCAAAAATTTATATACTTAGTTATAATTGGCTGGAAACCTAAAGGGATTGAATCGGTGCCTAAAAAGAAATTTTATTTGTAAAAACTTGTTTGGTTCAGTTTTTATATCAAATAAAAAAGATATTTCAATTACCCTAAAAAACCCTAAATTTGCGTGTCTCACTTCTCCCCATTCCCCCCTACCAATAGCATTTTGATGGATACAAACGGCAAAAATGACTACATTTTAGATCAAGTAGCAGTTCTTAAACTATAAATTTTTCAGTTTTTTAAATTAAAACACTTTTATAATTAACAACTTAAAGTTATGAATTATAAAAGTGCGGTAACTAAAGAGATTTAACTGTGGAATTAAATGTTGTTAACTTTTTATTCCACTATTAAAATTGATGAATTTTTCGTTTTAAAAGCACATTAATTAAAAATTTCATGAAAACTAGAATTAAAATTTGTTTTTGGTCTGTCTGTCTAGTTAAAACAATTGAACGGTTTTAAATGATTTGAAATTGAAAAAAAGTTATGCGCATAATTATGCGCGCAATTTATCGGCGAATATCTGCGCATACAAATTTTTTCGAACCCTACATTATTGGTTTTTAATTTAATGTATTGACTTATATATCTTTAGATTGATTATTAAATTGAAAATAATGTAGTATCTATATATATATATATATATATATATATATATATATATATATATATATATATATATATATATATATATATATATATATATATATATATATATATATATATATATATATATATATATATATATATATATATATATATATATATATATATATATATATATTATATATTATATATTATATATTATATATATAATTTGATATATTATAAAATCACAAGCAAAAACATAAAAACTTTTTGTGAAATTCTTGACTGGGCTGCTTATCCAATATCTAAACAACAAAACCTTTAAATCAAAAACTGTTTTCGAAACATCAAAATTTAAGTTTCGGTCAAAAATTAAGTTTTTCAGACCACTGTTCTATGCTCAGAATTTAGGGTTGAAATTTTCAAAAAATTTTAATATCAATAAACTTATTACATAGTTTTATAAAAAATTTTTAAATTTTTTTTATATTACATAGTTTTATAAAATTCATTTCTTTGTTTCAAAAATATGTGTTTTATCATCGTAGTATATGGGTATATTCTTTAAATATTTCAACAACAAAAATTTAAAGAATACCCATATTTTATTTTTTTTTTTTATTTTTTTTATTATTTATTTAATTTGCCGTTGATAAATATTACAAAAAAGAAATTACAATAAAAGAAAATCCTGGCTGGAGCAAGAAGAAGACAGATTGTCTTATCACCGAGCCCCGTCACACAAAAATTTACATGCACAATAAATGATAAAAGACAAAAATACAGTATAAATACAAAAACAAAAATAAATCAAAAACTTCAGCAATAAAATAATTTGTTGCTAACAATCTTCAAGCAGAATAATTTTAAAAATAAAAAAGCAATATATGTAAACATAAGTATTTGGGGTGATTATTTAATATCATCAAAAATATGAACGAAAAGACAATTTTATTTTCGTTATCTTTTATACTAATGGTTTGAAACCATTTTAATAAAAGCTAAAGAAAGTGTTAAAGATTTAATTTATTTTTAAGTGATTTAGTTTAAACCTTTAAATTGTTTTCAAAAAAGGTATTTGAAATCTAGTATATCGAATTCCATGTTCAGTAAATGCCGTTTTGAATCATCCTTAAAACTTTGCAAAGTGCAGTTTAAAACGAAGTTTTTTTCTTTACTAAAGATTGGAAAAAAATCTTTCCAAACTAAAGGCCCCCGATATTGAATTTGGTATGAACTTAATTTTAGAAAGTTTATGGGAACCACAAAGTTATTCACTGAAAATTTGGTTGGATATTTATGGGAGATTTCATTAAAGTAGGATTGAAATGTTACTGGAGAAAACCCAAGTTTTGCTTTAAACATAAATATCATTACTTGATGAATATTAAGCTTATAAATATTTAAAGCTCCAAGCTTACGTAAGAGAGGTTCGCATTGTGTTTTTCTATTTGCCCCAAATACTATCCTGCAAGCATGTTTTTGTTTACTATAAATTTTTTTGAGTTTAGTGTGATTAGTGCTACCCCAGGAAATGTTACAGTATGAAAGATAGCTGTGTATAAACGAAAAATATAAATTTTTTAAAGACTCGTTATTAAGAAAAGGTTTCGTTCGGTATAACATGGCAATATTTTTTGAGATCTTACCTTCAATATATTTAATATGAAATTTCCATGACAATTTTTCATCTAAGAGCACTCCCAGAAAGTTTGTAGTCAATTCCCTTTTAATTATTTTATTATTGATTAAAAGATTGGGTAGTTTAAGAGGAATATTCTCGGCTTTACTAGGTTTATGGAATAGGATAAATTTTGTTTTCTCTACATTTAATGATAGTCGGTTACTTATAAACCACTCGTTGATCTTGTCTAATTCTTCGTTAAATATTTTAAAAAGAACAGTAATATCTTTGTGAGAATAAAACAAATTAGTGTCATCTGCAAATAAGATAGTATTTAATACTTTTGATGATAAATATAAATCATTTATATAAAGTAAGAACAATAATGGTCCCAAAATAGAACCTTGGGGTACTCCACAAGTTATTAAGTTGTTTTTTGAGTCTTTTGATTCTTTAATTATAAATTGCTTTCTGTTAGTTAGGTATGATTTAAACCAAAGCAAGCTTTGATTTTTAACACCATAGTTTTCTAATTTTTTCAAAAGAATTTCATGATTTACTGTGTCGAAAGCTTTGGATAAATCAATAAAAACCCCTATTGTATAGCAATCACTATTAAATCCATTTGATATATGCTTAACTAATTCAACTATTGCATGGTCAGTAGAATGATTTTTTTTAAAACCGTATTGATTATTATATAAAATCTTATTTTCAGATAGATATTTATAAAGTCTGTTGTACATAATGCGTTCAATTAGTTTAGAAAAGCAGGGTAAGACTGAGATTGGTCTGTAGTTTGAAATATTGGTCTCATCGCCAGATTTGAAAATAGGTGTTATTTTTGCAATTTTTAGTTATACTTATACTTTAAATATTTCCATATACTTTAAATATTTCACACCACCACAAGCAAAAAATATACATCTTTTAAAGAAATTTTTACAGTCAATTTAAGAATCACGCATTTTTTTAAAAAAAACAAACAATAAAACGCTCAAGTTGTTATATGTTACTTTTACTTACATGACTTTTGTAAAACAACAAAAGCAGATGTTTTTCGCGTTAGCTTGTGTTTTGAGCTTATGTGTAACATATTTCTAGCTTTTACTTCTCTCAACTACGATAGAAAATATAAAAAAAAATTAAAGTCATTTTTAGATTAATAAATTTTAGTGTGTATTATATTTGTAGAGTGTTTCAAAGAAACAAATAATTATTCATGCGTACAGATTGCATACACAGACGATTTTAGGGGGAGGGTGTGTGGGGAAGGGAATGTTTTACCCCCTTAAAGAAGGTGATTTTTAAGTTATAGTCGGTTTTTTGACGAATTTAGTCGGGTATTTGACACAATTCTGTCAAGTGAATTTTAGTTTTTAAGGACCGTTTATCTTTATTTTTAAGAAACGTTACTTTTTACGGATTCCTCCCCCTCCCCTTCTCATTGATTTATAAAAACAAGTGTCCTAGCAAGATTGTGGCAAGGTAGAAATTGCAATTAGCAATTGAAAGGAAATTCACGCCTCCTTTCTTACCGATGTTCTAAAACTTGCTCAAAGGTGGCGTTAAACAATGGATCTCTTGCTTCTGAGGCAAGCGCGCTAACCGCTACGCTACGGCTTAAACGCACTTATTAAAGCATAGAGGTGGAGTCCAATAATTCAAGATGGTTGATTATGGAAATGAAAGCTAATCAACTGATTCTTCTAACCCAATTTAAACTATTCAAACAAATGAAGGATTGATTGAAACGGCTTCTACTTCAGAATGTTTTACGATATTAGCGACTAAAAAACATTTGTTTAGAGCAAAAAAAATTCAAATTCTGTGCAAATTCTCTGGCAAAAGATGTTAAATGAAATCATTGGCTTAATTGCCAAATCCATTATAACCAAAATTTATCCAAATGTCAAAAAATCGTGTATTTTTCAATCATTATTGATTGTAAATCAGACATCTGTCACCAGGAGCAAATGTCAATACTGGTAGAAATATAAATACAATATGTTGAAATAGAGGATAAGAGCGAAACTCGCATTAATGAAAGTTTTCTTGGATTTCACTGGATCGCCGAGCGAACATGTCTTATTGGAGCCCATATGGGTTTGCCCAAGTGGGCCCTATGTGGGCTTTATATATGGGCCCAAAATGGGCCCCATGTAGGCTAACCCTTGAATAAAAAACATTTTATATATAAAATGTTTTTTACTCAAGGGCTAACCCACATGGGGCCCATTTAGGGCCCATATATGTAGTTAAAAATGCGTTAAAATATTTTCTAAATTTAAATGCCATCCGATCGTGCGCTCTATGGTATGAGGTACTCCACTAGGCAATTAGCTGGAGGAGTATAACCCTTGTAAAAGGTGCCAACTTTCTTGGCACCTTTTTCAAGGGTTTTTGCAAGAAACCGCTCTTACTTTATGAAAACCCCTTTCTTTTCTCAAATGTAATTATGTCTCCAAGGTTTTCTTAATTTTTAAAAACAAAAATGTAAATAAAATGACAGGTCGTGAAGAGGACATATTATTGGTCGTCAATTAATCTAAAGCTTAAATATACTTAATTAAGTATGACTATTACATTTACTATATAATTATTTAAATACTCTGTTATATTTATTATTGTTTATTACTGTTTACCTTATTCTTTCAACGTTTTACTAATATAAAGCTAGACCCAAGTCTCATATTTATGACTACATATTGAATTAAATGTATCTAATTTGAAACAAATAATTAATTATTCAAAACATTATAAAACCCATGTGGGTCCAACATATGCAGACCCATGTAAGTCCAACATATGCAGCCCATATGGGCTGCCCTCTTGGGCCCCAATTCACGCCCAGCAACAATTTTTCTTGGGCGGGATGTGGGCAACCCATTTGGGCCCCATAAAGCTGCCCACTTGTGCCCCACGTGGGGCCCATTATAACTTGCTGGCTGGGTCGAAGGTTTAGCAGGGCTAGACTTATCAAATATGATTGTTGAAAAAAAATAATTTGTCACATCAATTCTGTAAAAACTCATCGGTTTGAAATGCCAAAAATTTAGATGAAGCTTTTAGTCAAGTAATACATAGACTAAAATAGATACATATAAAAAATTTTTGAACTTGAATCCAGACACACAACTTTAAATAAACGTCTAATGTTTTTGAACTGCCGTTTTTACATCTAACAAGTAATGACCTGAACTTAATAGAAAAACAAAATTGTATTTGTATTTTTGAAAGAAAAAAATCATTTAAAATTGGCCCTGACCCTGTTAGTAATACTGTAGCTGAAAGGATATTCTCTTTTGTATCTTCAACTAAAACAAAAGCTAGAAACAGAATTTCTTTAAATATGCTTGATGTTGCTGTACGGATAAGTTCAGAACGAATTCTTTCAGGTAAAGATTTTAATATAACTGAAAAATGCTAGTCATTGGCTAGATATCTCAGTTTTTTAGTTAGCAATGTTGTTGCGATATATCGATTGCTACATATAGTAGTTTTGTCGTTAGCATCTACTTAACGACAAATCTAAAGCTTGTTGTAACTACATATCGTGGTTTTTTTCGCAAGAAAAAGCTTTTATCAGCTTTTGTTTGCTAAAAAAGACTATTTATATTGTCAGATTTCTGACAAGAGTTGTTATAAACTGAAAAAATATAATTATCGATTATTATATTTTTTCAGTTTATAACAAGAGTTGTTATAAACTGAAAAAATATAATTATCGATGTTATTGGGATACAAATACAAATCGATACAAATCGTAGCTTTGTCTCTAGCTACTACAACAATTCTATAACTGCTATGGGACTATAGTCATTTATCGATTAATCGATATGTATATAAATATCACGGGTTAATAATTTAGTTAAATAATTTAAATCTATACGTTGGTAGCTACATATCCTAGCTTTGTAGCTTTGAAGCTTTGTTTAAATATCTACAAATCTATAGTTTTATACTATTATATTATAGCTACCTCCACTAAAACGACAACTCTGTATTTGATTGCTTTAGTCTTTCGTCTAAGCTTGATCTTAGCTTGATCTGAATGATCTTAGCTTTTTAACTTTCAATATGATTGTTTTAGATAAAACTGTCTAAATCAGAGATTTCCGTTTTGTATGTGCCCGCTACTATTCGACCACGAATTAAAAATATGAATTATTTTTATTTATTTGTCAGAGTTTTAATTTTTTTTTGAGTGACTATGTTTATAAAATACGTTTTTATGTTTGTGAAACTCTATGTATGAGGGGTTCCTTTGCTGACGACCCGACAAGAAAGGTATATGTGGCCCACATGTGGTTTTAGTGCTTTCGTGTGGATTAAAAGTTCAAAAATATGTTACAGTTAATGAATGACGTATTTGATGAAGATAAGTGTGGCCCACTTGTGGAACACATAATGCGGTTCACATAACTATTCCACTTAGTGTGGCATAATCCTTAAATAAATACGTGCTAAACTTGATGTTGTTATCATATGGGCCATACATATAAAACTCACGATCTTGCCTCATTTTGAATTTTAAATTTTAACGAATTGTAATAATTCTATCGCAATTCATTGCGATACAATGCATATGCATTGTAAACTCTAGAATATTCCATGATATCATTTAGCTTACCGTTTTGATAATTTTTAATTAAAGTAAAAAAGTGTAAATATATAAAATAAAAAACAAAAACCTAGGTGTGTTAAGACGTCTACTTATTGTAAATATACAATTTGTTATCATTACTAAACTATGTTTTTTTTTAAGTGATTTTTTGCGTGATTTAGATTATATAATGGCATTCTGTTAAAAGAATAATATTTAAAACTATATTACTTATATACAGGGCCGTACCGACGGGGGTGTGTGTGGGGTGGAACCTTTTTGTCGGAAAATTGGAAGATTTGTATATATATATATATATATATATATATATATATATATATATATATATATATATAAATATATATATATATATATATACATATATATATATACATATATATATATACATATATATATATACATATATATATATATATATATATATATATATATATATATATATATATATATATATATATATATATATATATATATATATATATATATATGTATATATATATATATATATACATATATATATATATATATAGATATATATATATATGTATATATATATATATATATATATATATATATATATATATATATATATATATATATATATATATATATATATATATGTATATATATATATATATATATATATATATATATATATATATATATATGTATATATATATATATATATATATATATATATATATATATATATATATATATATATATATATATATATATATATATATATATATATATATATATATATATATATGTATATATATCATTTATACATATGTCGAGAAAAGAAAGATATTTGTTTATATCAAACATTTTTAAAAAAATGTAATATGAAATTTAATTATATAATATAAATAAAAAATTGAAGAAATATAACCATTTCCAAATGAAAAAAAAAAATTTAAAAGAATATAACCATTTCCAAATGGTAATAAAAAACGAGTTAAATATTATTTAACTTGTTTTGCGGTCGTTAAGTTCACATTAGGCAAATGCATTAAGCATTTTTTATTTAAAACAAAACATGGAATAGTAATTTTAATATTTTGAAACATTTTTGTGTATTATTTATTAATAAACTATAAAGATGAGAAAATGAATTATAAGAAAATAAGAAAAGTTATGGAAAGAGTTTGTAAAATTTAAAATAGGTGGTGCCCGCCACTAGGGTGCGTCATACTTTTTTTTTTTTCCAGATTGAAAACCCTGTATTCTAAAAACTTGTATTTTTATATAATTTTACTAAAAAAAGTTTAGATTTAAAAATCTGAAATGATTTAGCTACCGGGAATCGATATTTGGTATTCACTTAAATTCGCGGAAATTTTTTTCCCAGAATAGCAAATTTTTGCTTGTGGTTACATGTTTTCGTCGGCTTAAGTTATTTGCTTTTTACTTTTTTAAAATTATTATTGTTAAAATGTTTATAATAGTTTCGGTTTGTAATCATTTTTCTTTCATTTGGGTCATTCCACGCCAAACCGTCCAATTTCCGAAATCTGTAAATCTAAAAACTGTATTTTTGGGGTCTTATATTTTTGTAATGAACGGGTAATATATCTTAAAAATATGGCTTCTTAGTTAACCGAAGGGGGAGATTACAAAAGAATTAATACAAGTTGCACATTATGCCTACATTTTAGTCTATGGTTCACCAAATACCTTCACAAATTCAACACCATAAATTTTTTCTGTTTTTTGTAGGGTCATATCTCCAGAACATTTTGTAGGGTCATATCTCTAGATTTTTTAGTATTGTTATTTTGTCAAAAGGTTCTCACATACTATCATAATGATATGGATTAAAAATCATCTTTTTCATAAACGTCTTTTCTAAGTTATTTTGAAAGCAATATAGCGTAAAAAGTGAGATACCCTAAAATCAATGTGGGCAAAAAAATTTTGTTTTTTTAATTGCATTGTTGGAAAGAGCTTACTTTACACTTCTATAAACAAAAAAAACCATTTAGGAGAGATTTTTCCTATGAACTAAAAAAAGCTAGTTTTTATGAGGTAAGTTAGGTCTGCAAAGTCTTTGATACTTTAAAAACAATATTAAGGTCCGTAAATTAACTATAGCCATGTAGAGCTAATTTTAGTAAGTAAGTATATTTTTATTACAACAACAACTGGCTATATTCGTGATGAGTGGTTTGAAATGATATTATTTAACCCTTAAATAATGACTGAATATAACTACATACTGTATTTATATAAAGTACAATGAAAATATAATTAATAGGATAGACCACTTTTTATAGAGTTAATGTAAGGGTGAAATGATGTTGCTAAGGGCGTTGCTATGATTTCAAAATAAACTACTTGTATGAAATTCTAATTTTTAGGTTTTTAGTGATAAAAAGAAATATATATACAAAATTATCACCCATCAGATTGATTAAAATACAATAATATAATACTGATACATTGTTAAAGTATTGATGCAAACTTTAATATAAATTATGGTATCAAAGGAAATCAAAGAAGATTCAGCATTTTTGGGTATAAAACTAAAAAAAAATCTTTTCGCAGATTTCCTTAATAGCGCCAGTTTGTCAACATAAAAAAATAATTAAGTAAACTTAAAAATAATTTTTTTGCTTTGTAATTTTAATTAGCTTTGTAATTACTATTTCTACACACACACACACACACACACACACACACACACACACATATATATATATATATATATATATATATATATATATATATATATATATATATATATATTCACTTTTTTTAATTTATTACAATCATTTTTACAAACTAAGAATAGGCAGCTTTGCTTGCCGTTTAAATGACGATATTCTAAAGTCTTTTAATTTTTGATTTTGCAAGTTTTTCCATATTTTGGGACCCTGTGACATAATTGAAAATTCAGAACCCCGGGTTTTAGTTTTTTTAATATAATAGTCATGCAAGCTATTTGATCGCAGATTATAACTTTGAGAAAATGATGACGAAAAAGAATTTGGTAGCATATTATTTTTATATTTGAACATAAAAATAAGAATCTGAAATAAAGAGTTTCATATTTGTGATCGCATTGGAAGAATTGTCCATTCTATATAAATAATGAATTGCTTTACGAGCATGGTTTTGCAAGCCATATATATATATATATATATATATATATATATATATATATATATATATATATATATATATATATATATATATATATATATATATATATATATATATATATATATATATATATATATATATATATATATATATATATATATATATATATATATATATATAAATTACTGAAGAACCATATTCTTATTCAAATAATAAATACCATTTTTTTATTTATACAAAAGTTTAATAAATGATTTCGAGTCTTTTCCGTAAGTGTACATTCCGAAATGCTCCTTTAGTTAGGAATTGTTTCAGAAGTATTTTTTAGAAATGATTTTTTTCGCACGTTTCTTTTCGTAAAGCGTTATTATGGAATTAATAGTAATTATTTTTTTCGTACAATTCTTTACGGAAGGTGAAAATGCGCATGTACAACTTCCGCACTCGCAAATTGAAATACGGAAGATAAAAATGCGAAATTTTCATAAGTTTTGTTTTTCGGCAAACAACCCTATCATTAACCATTATTAGTTAATGATAGGGTTGTCATTAGTCCTGTCATTTGTGGATATAGTAGGAAGATTATTGAGATAAAATAGTGATTATTGAATGGGACATGTCAAAACGAACTGTTGTGAAAATAGCAGGAAAAAATATTTCGGCAACTTAGTTATGGTCAGACATTTTGGATAAATTATTTTATTTTTATGTTAGTTAACATGAATGAAATGACATATTTTAAATCTAATAAGTTGATTTGTTGTTGTGTCGTACTTTGTACCCTTTCGTGTACATTTATACCATTTAAATAGCTTTTTCGGCATCACTAAGTGTATAAACTACCTTTCCTGCTTGACTAGCTTGAAATTTACTACTGCCTTCTCCTAATTTTTCAATCCTTTATATTTGTCCCATTTAATGAGCAGTTCTCAATGAATGGGACAAACTCCATGGTCCAATAAAATTCTCTTTTTACCAATACTCACATGCGTAACCAATTTTTTTGTTTTTGTTTATCATAGTACGATAGTTAACAGTTATAAAACTATTTTCTAAGTAATTTTTAAACGCATTTTACGAAAACTGTCCCATTCATTAAGGTTTTCCCCTACCATTAATTATTTCAGCTCGACAAAATATACGTTTTGTGTAATTTTATATGATGAGGTAAATCAATAAAAAAATAACTTTTATAAATTTAATTTCAACTTATGTTTTTCTTCTGTAGAATTTAAAAAAATTAAAACGAGTTTTTTTTATGCGTTTATTATCCTTTTTTAGACAAAATAAAAAAAAAAAAAGATCCTTAGTCAAAAATAAATTTTAAAAATATTTTAACATGAAATTTCAAGGTTGCAAGTGTCGAAATTCAAAAAAATGTTTTATCATATCTTTACCAATAATACTTTAGGTCATCTCTGGCTTTTAAATGATGGAAAAAGGAAACTTCTTAAGTAGCGAAAAAATAAATAAATAAGCAAACTCTTTCTTTGCGGAAACGGTATGCTTTACTTTTAATTTTTTGCATAGACAGCAGAAACATGTCCAGATAAAATTGATAATATTTCTAAGTAAATCAGTATTCATGAAAATACAGCTTTCAGAGTCATTTAAAATTATATTATTGCATGAATCATTTTGTAAAATTGTAGTTTCTCCCATTGATCATACAGTTATACTGAACAAGGTGAGGAGAAATCTTTTATACTGAGACCCAGTTTTTCTGGTATGCATGTATGTATATATATTTTGAATGTAAAATAATTTTTTTATCAATAAAGTTTTTTTTTTATCAATAAAGCAGAATGTAAATAGCATTTTATAAAAAGTTGTTATTGATTTAGACAAGATAAAAAGTATAAGCAAGTTTTTGAACAATCGAGTTGTTGACAGATTTCAATTTGGTCAATCTGCAACAATATATAAAGTAACTGATTGTTATTAGTGTCTTGTGTAACAGCAAATGCCTTAGATTTTGTACGTACGCGTGGCCGTGAATTCTGTTAATAAGCCAGGAACTTCATCAATGCATCCTGTTAAAATGGCGCTTAACTGGCGCCATTTTAACTTGCATCTGGCGATTAGGTAAGACATGCGCTGCTGATGTGAAGATATAATTATAATTTTTATCTTTATTGTCTCTTTAAGAAATCCTACAAGGTCCTTAAAAAGACAAAAAAGGTAAATATTATATTTGTACAGCTACTGATTCTCATATATAGGTGGAAGTAAAAGCTGTTTGCGATAAAAAATGCTATTAGTATTCATGCAATTTTGATGAAATTCGTATTCAGATCACGTAATTTTACATAACCAAAGTAAAAGGTTTCAAAAAGAGCTTGATAACAATCTTTGTAAAAAAATAAAAATATAAGTTACCATAATGATATCTCCCTACCTGCAGACAAATGGACATATGTTTTCCCCTGAAAAGTCAAGACACAGTACATTTTGAAAAAGTTACTTAATAGAAAAATGATTGGCTTTTCGTTTTTTAGCGTTTTTTTAAACATAACATTTACAGTAAATGATAATTTAACTTCATTATATGAAACACAAGGGCAGATCCAGCATTTTTTGGTCTTTGAGATAGCTAACATAGACAGACAACAAAGTTACAATGTAACTGAATTTACGTCAACGTTTTAATTACGTTAACGTTTTAATATTAAAACTTATTTCTATTATTTTTAGTCTGACAGAACAATTCAATCAAACCGTAGTAAGACATTTGCTGAAATTAATAAACAAAGAAACTGACGAATAAAACTTTTTCCTTGATTTTTTAGTTGTATTTGCTTACCTCATTAACATTCAAGTATCAATAAAACATTCTCGTTTTTAATTAATGTAATGAAAACAAAGAAATACGTCAACGCATTATTACCCTTTGGCTAATTGCTACAAAATATACGACAAAAAGCAAATATTAAAAAAGCGCAAGCGCAACAAAAGGTAAGTACCATCTAAAGCATTCCTAAAATCATTGGGAATTAGGAAGAACCATTGACAGACTTCAATTTGGAATGAAAATTAATAAATAAAACTTTGGTTTTCACGCATTTTACTTACTTCATCTACTTCTAATCAGGAAACAAAAAATGGTTATATGGAGCAAGTAATGACTTCAATACAAAATATAAATTCAGATTTCCAGCCCCATCATCAATTGCTTGTTGGATACAGGAACTGAAGCTAAAAAAAGAAGATAAAAATATTTTGGAATCAAATGAATGGCTAAATGACTGCATCATTAATACTGCAAATAGTAACGTTAGTTTTCACTTGACAAATAAAAAATCTGTCAATCAAAACTGCTTTTGCAAGCAATCAAAAGGGTTTAATGCTTTGCAATGATTCAATTCAAATTTTAAATGAATTGAACAATTGCGTATAGAGAGCATGTTTTGGTTGAAATATATTATGCAGACAGCCTAGGTAGATTGATTTAGAATTTTCCTGTATCCGATCAATGTGAAAACAATTCCAAAATCCTTGTACCTGTTTAACACCAAACTAACGCCACCGAACATTAAACGTACCAAACACCAAACGCCACCAAACGCCTAGTACTCTGAAGTTTTAATAGATATTAATAATATTTATTACCAAGAAGACATTATGCGTAAGCGTTGCTTACAAACTCGGACCGATTTTTGTTCCCGAGAAACAAGCGCGAATGAAAACCAGATTACACAACTATCAACGGCCTTGTTAACGATTTTAAAAATTAACGCGTTTTAAAAAGTAACGCGTTACGCATTTTGAGTATAAAACTTTTTTTGCGTCCCGCTACTTACGTTATGTTAAAAGCATTTTTGTTTCGAAATATTAAAATCTAAAGATATCTTTTAAATGTTTTGATAGATAATAATAATAATTATAATAAATTAACGTTTTAAAAGTTACACTTTATTGTTCAAAATAATTGAAGACAACTACGAAAAATATGCTTCTTTGGTACAAAATAGAATAACTTTCAGAAAAAAATTTAAAATAAGTAAATTTAAGATGTAAAATTAAGCTAACCTTTTAAATCGAATCAACAACAAGAAGTTTGACAATTGCTATAACACAGTTTTTTATACGAAAGTTTTTTTTACGTTGTTAAACGAAGTATAAAAAAAAAAGAAAATCAATTTCCATTTAGTTTAACGATAGGGTATTTTAACTTTACTTTTCACTAACTCAGCGACACTTTTAATAATTTAATTGTTGTATAATGATTGATTTAATCACTTGCCAAATGCAGCGTTTATTACAAGTATGTACGCTTGAAAAAATAATGCATTGTATATATATATATATATATATATATATATATATATATATATATATATATATATATATATATATATATATATATATATATATATATATATATATATATATATAAATATATATATATATACATATATATATATATATATATATATATATATATATATATATATATATATATATATAATATATATATATATATATATATGTATATATAATATATATATATATATATATATATATATATATATATATATATATATATATATATATATATATATATATATATATATATATATATATATATATATATATATATATATATATATATATATATATATATATATATATATATATATATATATATATATATATATATATATATATATATATGTATGTACGTATGTATGTATGCAGAGGCGATTTTATGGGTGTGTGTGGAGGGGTGGGGGGGGAAGGATGTATAGAACCGCCACTTTATGTATGTAAACGATTTCCAAAAGCTATATAAAAAATTATATTGCTCTTGAGTGTATAAAGATATATTAGCAAAATTAAGTTAAGCTTAAAATGCAAGGCATCTCCTCTAAAATGTATTGCATATACAAAAAACATGTTTAATTAAATCATTAAACATAACCATGTTGAAGCATGAACAATATTACTTATTTAATTGATACCATTATTAATAAACTTTTGCTAAATCTTTGCTAAAAGTTAATAAATCACGTCGGTTTTGGAACGAGTGTATAACTCTTTTTATAATTATAATGTATACTAAATAAATAAATTAAAGCAAATGAACTATTTTTTTCAATAAATAAATCTTAAAAAATATTCCGTGATCTATACAGAGGCGATTCTACAAATAAAATGAGGGGGGGGGTGAATCCTTAAAAAGTAAATAAATCTTAAAAAATATTCCGTGATCTATACAGAGGCGATTTTACAAATAAAATGAGGGGGGGGGGTGAATCCTTAAAAAGTACCGACTCTCTGTAAAAAAAAAAAAAAAAGACCATTTTAATCTAATTTTAATGATGTAATTATGAAATTATATGTATTGATATACTGATATAAATTTTTTTGCATTTAATCTGGCGGTTTTTTGCATTTCATCTGGCGGTTTTAAAATTTATAACAATTTTATAACACATGTTAAAAATTACTTAAATGATTAGTAATAAAAAATATTCTACATATTCCAGTTAAAAATCAATTTAGATATGTAACAAATAGTATAATCCAATAGCATTGAGTAATAATAATATTAGTAATAATAATACTAATAATAATAATAGCAATAATAACAATAATAATAATAATAATAATATATATATATATATATATATATATATATATATATATATATATATATATATATATATATATATATATATATATATATATATATATATATATATATATATATATATATATATATATATATATATATATATATATATATATATATATACATATGTATATAACATACAAGTTCGAAAAAATAAATTTTAAAAAATTACGACTTTATTTTCTATTAATGTCATCTCTATTAACACATTGCGTAAGAAAAGATTCGCAGTGTCTCGGTCGTTCCTCGGAGAATGTCTCCGTGGTTTCTTATCATATAAAGATTGAACTTGCTTTCAGCGATATAAATGATGTTTAGTTTAGGGTTGTTAACCGGAGGATTTCGTGCAATTCCGGAAAAACAACATTCTTTCGTAAGGAGATTGAGAACACGGAATTACATTTTTTCGTACCGAATGTTACAAAACATTTAAAATCGCCGATGTTCATTTCGCAAAAGCCACTTCCGAAATTTAGCATTTCGCAAGTTGACATACGAAACAAAACTATTTTGCAACATACGAAAGTAGCGGTTTCGGAAGTCGCACTTGCGAAACAAACATTTTCGCCAAACGACGTTTTGAAGTCTATAAAGAAAATTTGTTTGCCAGACTGATTTTAATTGTAAAAATTAACATCTTTAAATCCCAAAATGTTTATAATGAATTTTTATTTTCAGTATAATAACTATTAAATTTTTATGGTTTTATTTTTAGAAATATTGATAAAAAATAAAATTTCTTTCGAAACGAAAGTATTTCGGATCACAACATACGAAAGAATTCTTAACGGAAATAAACTTACGAAACGTGCCATAATAAATATATACAAAGATGTTTTTTGAACTCATTACGTATATTAAAAATAAGAATGATGGGTAGGAATATACATGTTTTTTTTTTAAAGCATATGAAATTTTTGAAACAGGTTCGAATATGCTTAAGCAAATAGTAAAAAGAGGTTCAAAAATATGCTTTAGCTTAAGCATATTTCTGATAAAATATACCTATTTCAATAATTTCTAAAAGTGTGCACGTTACTAAAGTTCTAGCAGATTTTAAAGGTATGTAGAGTCCTGTTTGAATACGCTTTTCGAAGTATAGATCTTAGAAAATATTGTTTTTTAATTTTAATAAGATATAAATTTAAGTATAAGATTGTATAGTTCAATCAGTTAGATACGTGACAATTCGCCGCAGAGATCCGGGTTCGCATCCCGCAGTCATTGTAACTTTTGTTCATCAAACTCTTTTTATTTAAGATAGCATTTTTTGACCTCCATGTTCTATATTACAGATCTTTCGTCACCTTCACAATAGTGACAACCACTCTTCTGTTAGTTATTCTTTTAAGATTGAGTTCATTGTGCTTAATTCAACACGTTTCCCTTGCTTTACTAAGTTCTACTTAAATTATGATGAAATGTACGTAAAACAACTTTTTCAAATAATATAAATCATTTTGCTTTAGATCTTTTGCTTTGTAATAATTTCTAGCTAACTCTGAGTCTAATATAACCATTTCTGAATATAATTTCCCTGAGGCTCCTACAGCCTATTGTGTTCCATTAAAAGTAACTAGTTTTTGAGTCCAGATATTAATTATAAGCATCTAAAGGTTCACATTACTATTCATTTTCCTGATATATTGAATCCTATTTGCATACGTATCTCTTTCTGTAAATTCTGTTTTATATAGTTTCTTAATTATATATTAAATAAATATTACTATTCACTTAGTTGAATGAACGTATAGCTCATTCAGTTAAGACATTTGGCCGCGTAGACCCAGGTTCACATCCCGCTGTTTCACATATATTTCTTCTCTTTTTACTCTTTCTGATATCATTTGCCTTTAGAGAGATCTCTCGTTCTTTATAATAAAGTATTTAATTGTTTATCACACATCCTCTTTATACTTTTTAAAAAGAAAGGCATACTGTTTATCTGTTCATTGAGAGTCCAACTTAACTAGATTTTACTGTATATATATGTGTATATATATATATATATATATAATATATATATATATATATATATATATATATATATATATATATATATATATATATATATATATATATATATATATATATACATATATATACAGTAAAATCCCGTTAATGTGTATATATATATATATATATATATATATATATATATATATATATATATATATATATATATATATATATATATATATATATATATATATTAGGTATATTTGTATAAACATTTGAAGAATCATTTGACAACATTTTTTTATAATTTTATTATTTATTATTTAAACTGTTAACAGTTAATATCTTAAATATATCGTAACATAAAATCTTTTGCGTCTTTTTCGTAACTACACATTCCGGAATGCTTTTTCCGTAAGGAACTATTTCGTAAGTATTCTTACGAAATGATTTGTTTCGCAAGTTTTCTTTCGCAATGCTTTATTACGGAATTTTATTTACTATTTATATTTTCGTATAGCGCGTTACGGAATGTGCATTTTTGCATGTGCAACTTCCGCAATAACAATTCTATTACGGTAGATAAAAATGCGAAATTTTCGCATTTTTGTTTTTCGGCGAACAACCCTAGTTTAGTTTAAATATTATGTCAAGTTTAAATATCATGAAACATATGTTTTTCCTTCTTCTTTTACCTCTGCAGTATTGCGTCTTTCACTAATGGGTCTTAAAATTTTGTATGTATAATTCAATTTTTTTAACCATCGCCATAATGTAGAGACATTGACATCATTTCCCAAGACTACCTTTATCTCCTGTAGATTATAGTTTTTGTTATCTCCAATTAACTCATGTAGCCTATACTGGGTACTTCTTTTACACTTTTCTCTTCGTTAATTACAAGAATAATCATCAAATTTCTTACTTCAACATTAATTTCTGAGCATTATCTTCGTGCGATATTCAATTTAGAGTTTTAAAAAATTGAAGAGAAAACGGGCTGAAATTGTATATAAGGAAGTTAAATTAAATGAAGCAATAAAAACAAAACTATTTATCATAATAAA